TTAGTATGTCAATTGAATGGTTATGACCTACTATGTAAATGGAATTTGGTGTGAGTGTGTAACACCCTATTAAGAAGGTGATCAAGCAGAAATAAGGGACACGTGATCAACCAAGGTGATTTTCCTCTATGATGACTAAGCTGCTTCTTTGATTGCTTAAGGGATATAAGCTACTAGATCAATCTACACCACACTTATTCATCTTCCCCGACCTCTCTCTAACAGAAACCCCCTTCTCAAGCTGTTAACTTAAGAAAATAAGAATTTCCTTGATGGTTCGTCAAGTTTGGATGCCAAATTTCAAGAAAAACCTAACCTAGTCAAGGTAAGGGCCTGTTTTGGTTTGGAAGATATTTGGTGTTGGTTTAGTGGATTTCGCTTGAATTTTACTGAGATATTTACACCACATAATATTTGATATGTCAGGCAAAACCACATAAAAGGATTTAATCAAACTCAATTGGGAGGTGGTGGTTTCAAGTTTGTTTTGGTGGCAGCCCTAAAACAGGTTGGTTCTACAAGTGGCTCGGATTTATGTTTATTTCCCTAGGCTAGAGAGCTCCGTTTGAGTTGAAATTTTGAGGGAATACTATTGTAGGTGTTATCAATTAGATCCTAAAATATCTCATTAAAATACTGTGAAACTTGGGTGTTATGACCTTTTTACCGAACATGGTTTAGTGAATGGAATGATAATGTGATTATGAGCATATTTTATTTTATCTTGGGATATTACATTCAAAACAGGTGACTTTTGGCTTTGGGGAGTGTTAAAAATAAGGAGAAATGCTGTCAAAATTTTTAGAAAATTTTTGGAATCAAGAAGGATCCAAATTTAGGGCTAAACCCACCCCGTAGCCCATACCATGACCATTGGATATGCCAAGCATGCCCTGGCTTGCGTGCAGGCAGGCCTGTCTACAGCCCATACTATGTGCAGGTGACCCTACTGCGTGCCTAGCATGCCCAGGCATGGGCTGCAAACTGGGTGCCTGGCTACTCGGCCAAGAAGGCCAAATGAGCCATTTTTAGCACTTTTTAGCCATTTTTGAGATAGTAAAGTATATTTCAATTGTATATTTGATCAAATAATTATTATTACTCAAAATTTAAATATAGAATATTATTATTAGTAATTAAAAAAAATGATGATCAATATTTCAGTGATACGAAGTATCGGATCCCCTGAGAGCAGTACCTAAAAGATTGGTTCGGTGTTAAAGTTTAAGGTAAGTAGAATATCACCTGTATCACCATAAAAGTCGTGCATATACTATGTGATTCAAAGTTGTGATATGTGAGTATACGAGACATGTGTTATTGATGTTAGCATAACCATGCATGCATGACATGATGTAAAGATATGTACCATTGAACATAAAAGGAGAAGAATGAATATTAAAAGTGAAGAGAGAGTTAAATGATGGTTTTGTAGTTTTTGACGGGTTTTCTGTCTCCAAAGAGACTGCCGGACCTCTTGCGGCGTGGGAAGCTTCTCCGATGATCACGGGGAAGGATTTGTGTTTATTATGATTAGCCCCACGTGACGGCATTTTAATAATATAGGTCGAAGGACCTTTGTCTCAATAGAGACTTGCGGTGTGGGAAGCTTCCTCGATGATCACGAGGAAGAATTAGTTTTAAATGTGAAAAATGTGTTTTACCCCACATGACGGCATTTGATGTTATGTATGTTGTGGCCACAAGGTCCGATGAGGTATCTGGGATACCACCCCGTCTAAGTAATTGCGTGCATAAGATGAAAGAATGAATGAAAGGTTAAAATGTATGATGTTAATAAGTCATGAGCTCATACATATTCTCATTGTTGCTATATCATGTATTATTCTACTTACTGGGCTTTAGCTCACTTATTTTATGGTGATGCAGATGAGGGTATATCTCAGCATTAGTTATGGACTAGATGGTTGACTGGCACAATCCTGAGGACTGAGACAGGTGTATATGGACAAACTGACATGTATTTTGGAGGCCCTCGTTGTAATTAGGGATTGTGATTTTGTGTGAGCTCATGGGGGTATACATAGTATAAGGCTGTGCCTATTTTTGATAGATGTATTATATTGTATATATTTGGCCAGCCTGTTGTAGTATATTAAATATATTTTGATTAGCTTTGCTTGCTAGGAAGTCTTAAAAGTTCAAATTTACCCGTAATTTCTTACTTAATATGCATAACATGTTAGGTTAAGTTTAAGAGAAGGAAAAGAAGTAACACTACTTAATATGAGTAATTGGATAATTTAGAGCCATATTATGTGGGGTGTTACAGCCAAGTTCACTTCGGAGACCACAGCAGACAAGTTGATGTCGGACACTTCTTTAGAAATCGTGTCCACAGCATTGGCCTCCTTATCCTTGTTTCGTTTTGGCAGCCTGCAATCCGTTGATTTATGCCCAACCTTGTTACAATTGAAGCACTTTCTTTGGAATTTCTTCTTGACAATTCCTCCCTTTGATCCCAACTTGGATCCGGGCTTTCCTTTCTTTTTGGAGCTATCATGCTCCACCACATTAGCCTTAGCAAAGCTCGCGGTTGCATTGGAGAACTTCTTCTCAGTCCGCCTATTGTCTTCTTCGATGCGAAGCCTGACAACTAATTGCTCAACGGTCATCTCTTTCCTCTTGTGCATCAGATAGCTCTTGAATTCCTTCCAGGAAGGGGGTAGCTTACCAACCAGCGCAGCTACCTGAAAGGATTCACTAATGGCCATTCCCTCAGCATGTATTTCATGAATTATCAATTGGAGCTCTTGAACTTGACTAATGATAGTCTTCGAGTCCACCATCTTGTAATTCAGGAATTGGCCCACTAAGAACTTCTTAGCACCCGCGTCCTCAGACTTATATTTATGGTCCAAAGATTCCCATAAGTCCTTAGTGGTTTCTTTGAGCTATACACATTGTAAAGCCCATCAGCCAAGCCGTTAAGCACATAGTTCCGACATAGAATGTCAGAATGGTTTCATGCATCAACCGCATAGAATGCTTGAGCATCCACTTCATCCTCTCTAACAGTAGGAGGATCATTTTTCAAGAATCTCGCAAGATTCAATGTTGTTAAATAAAACAATATTTTTTGTTGCCAAGTTTTAAAATTCAGCCCACTGAATTTATCAGGCTTTTCATTGTGGTTCACAGGAACCGAGACTGGCGAAGGCCGCATCGAGGTCAAAGCGGGGGTCGGGACCGAGACAGACGTTTGTCCTACAGGTAACGCCACATGCGTCATAGTGTTGCTTCCAGCAGGAACAACCACGTTCATATTATCAGCCATTTCTAAAAACAAAATTTCCAAGTTAGTAAGGAAATTGGCAGAATTTCAAACAACCACAAAAACGTTTTTTTTTTCTTTTTCCTGAAAATGTTTTGGTCTTTTTTTTTCCCTTTTCCTGAAAACATTTTGGTCCCTTTTTTATATATATATTCCCTGCAAAACCTCCTTTGTATAGATCCGAATCTATTTTAAGATTGTTAGCCGAAATAGGATAATACAAAGAAGATCAAAACTATAGGGAAATGGAAAAAACTGAAATTGTACAATGCAAATTCAACCTTTCTACCAAACTCGGAATTGAAAGTTGCAAGGATGTCGAGGCACGTGGACCACGTTTTCCTTAAAACAGATTCGTCCCCTTCGGCGTGTGCTTGAGGTTACGTTGGACGTCCGTCTCCCAGGATACAACGACAATGACGGAAGCTCGATATACTTTCGGAACTGCCCAATGAACTAGAATCGGATCTTTCCTCTATCACCAAAACCGAACAACAAGAACTTACACGAAGGAATTCGGAAAAACAAAAGAGACGAGAGAGAGTGAGAATGCTCTATGGAGGTGTGAGCAATGTTCATGTGAAGTATGCCCTCATATAGGGTCCAAAATATAGGTGTTACAACCCAGATTTAATCCCGGATTAATGGTGTTAAAAACAGCCATTACTATGCAATATTAAGAGGCAAAACCGGTATGTCATCCCTTGATGAATTTGGCCTCATACTGCATACTTATTCAGTTTTTTGATGATGAAAACTGAAGCCATCAAAGCTTAATTCGGTTTGTCTCCATTGATCACCATTAAGCCCCCATTATGGGCATTTAGCAGCCATTAAGCACAGCTTTATGGTAAGACCAAACGGCTAGAAGCAAAAAATAAAAAGAAAAATTGCAAAAGTAGGCTCGCACGGAGCGGGTTTTCTGATCCGGCATTCGTGTCCGCAGGGTGCGGACGCACACATTAGCCCCCAACCCGCCGGGATTGTGATTCGCACCCCCCCTGCGCGTGAGAGAGCCTCTCTAGTATACATGTTTACCTAGGCTTCAAAGTGCAATCACTTATAAACACCACATTGGCTTCACTCCTAGCCAACGTGAGACTTTTGTAATTTTCTTCTACATTTACCATTTCAAGTAACATACTTAGATCATCAATTTCTCATTCACCTAAAAACTATTTTGAGTGTATGAATACTCGATTTTGATCTCCTCGTGACGGAAAACGTAAATTCATCGAGACCCGTCCTAAAAACCTATTAGGCTCTATTTAAATATGGGCCTCAAAATGTACCTTTAAAATGGCTTAACAAGCCATTTTTCCTAACATTTTTATCTAAAATTTAAAAATCTTCCGTAAAGATGCTCTAATAAACTACTACAAGTACAATATATTTACACTTCACTTCAATAATTATACCGTAAAATCTACTTTTATTCGCTTCAATGATTACATCCTAAAATCAACTTTTTATAAGTACGCAGTGCTTAACGTGAGTTCGTGACTTATAACATTGTTGGACTAGGAATAAGGCGCACCGACTTTCAGCATTGTTTGTCCGCAAAAGCACCCTGAATGCAAACACGCTGATTGGCAAATGATTTGCCGCCACGTCAATTCAAGATGCCCACATCAGTTCACTGTCCTTTATTACGTCTCTTTACTCTTTTTCTTCTTTTTTCTCCTTTTCTGTAACCGAACGACGCGGAGACGAGCCCTCATCTCTACAATTCCTCCGGTTGCTCTCTGCCGTTTCACACTATACAGTCCGGTCAATTAACAAAATCAGATAGATCTGGTCCGTTGAATCTCCCCAAGCGCATCAAATCCTCAACGCTTACGACGCAGCGGAAATTTCCCGTTTCTTCTTCTGCACAATCACTCTCGCTCTTCAGGTCTCTCTCTCTCTCTCTCTCTCTCTCTCTCTCTGCTGGGATTTTTCTTGTTCGGTTCATCCGAGGATTACTGTCTATTCACATGCTTGGCCTTTTGTTTTCCTTGGCTCATGTGATTCGATATTCGTGTGGTTTTTGGCTCCTTATTTCTTCTTTATCTTGGAATTTATCTTTTTTTTTTTCCGAGTAATCTTGGTGTATTGTTTAATCCATTGCATTGTAAATTTTTCTGCTAAATTCTAATGGATTCCGATTACATTGTAAAGATTTAAACTTTAAATAACGGTTCTTGCTGATCGAATTCTGCTCAAATATTGAAATTTGAAAGTGTTTCTCTGAATCTTGATCACCATTTCTTTTGCTTTCTTGTTACAATGTCGCCAATGAAGGTCAATGGACTGTACCGAGCCCGATATATCGAGTCACCGGCGAGAAGAAAATGACGATAAGAGCCTTCAAATGGGTGTGGAAGTTGTTAATGGTGAACGCAAGGGCCAAGTGGAAATTGATGGTGAAGAATGTCAAACCCCGAAAACAAAATTTTCGTCTTCTAACAAGTGTGAAATGGATTTTGATCGTCAGTCGGAGTCTCGGAGCCCGAATGTTAGCCGTGGTGAGGTATCAGAAGCCGGTAGTTTTGTTAAAGGTGAGGAAGATATGTATTTGGTGCCGGAAGTTGGTATGGAGTTTGAGTCAGAAGACCAAGCATATAAGTGTTATAGCAGATATGCTGTCTTGGAAGGTTTCAGCATCAGAAAAGATTTCGTAAACAAAAGTAGGATAAATGGTGCAGTGGTTTCCAGAAGGTATACTTGTTACAGGCAAGGTTATCGGCCCAACAAGCAGAATTCGAGTGCCGGGAAGCCACGGCAGGAGACGAGAACCGGTTGCTTGGCACATATGACTATTGCACGTCAACCCAACGGCAAGTTCAGCGTCACCCATTTGGAAAAAAAGCACAATCATGAGTTTGTAACCTCTTCTACGGCTCACTTGTTGCCCTCGCAGAAGAGATTGACTTTTGCTCAAGCAGTTGAAGCTGATTTGGGTAATGATTGTGCGGTGGATGGGGTGCTGAAGCTTGGAATGGCGTTTGACTCGGAAGATCATGCGTATGAGTTTTACAATGTGTATGCTGGACGAGTAGGTTTTAGTGTTAGGAAGGATTATGTAAATAGGAGTAAGATAGATGGTGCTGTGGCGTCGAGAAGGTTTACTTGCTTCAGGGAAGGTTTCCGGCAGAGAGACAGACGGGATATGAATGTTAAGAGGCCTCGAAAGGAAACCAGGATTGGATGTTTGGCACAGTTGGTCATTTCTCGACAGCCTGACGGTAAATATCGTGTCACTCACTTTGAAGAGAAGCACAATCATGAGCTTGTCGCTCCATGTAGAGTTCACATGTTACGATCGCAAAAGAGATTAGTTGCGGCTCAAGTTGAAGGAAATTTAGTAGATAGTCCTAACGGTCAGCCAATGTTAGCTTCTGAATTAGTGTATAAGAATTTTAGAGATTGCAATGACCTCAGTTTTGATCCCATAGATTATAAGAATAAACTATCTTCCAAACGCACAACAGAAATGAGGGAGGGAGAAGCTGGAAAAATTCAGCAATATTTTCAGGGAAAGCATAAAAACCCTTCATTTTTCTATGTTATGCAACCTGATGCTGAAGATCAAATAACGAATGTGTTTTGGGCTGATGCAAAGATGGTGATGGACTATAGTGATTTTGGTGATGTTGTTTGCTTTGACACAACTTACAAGATACATAAAGATTCCAGACCTTTTGCACCGTTCATCGGAATAAATCATCATAAGCAAATGATGATATTTGGTGCTGCACTTTTGTACGATGAAACTGTTGAATCTTACAAGTGGCTATTTCAAACTTTCATAGAGGCGATGTCTGGAAAAAAACCAAAGACCATCTTCACGGATCAGGATGAAGTGATGGCTGAGGCAATCGGTTCAGTGTTTCCAGGAACACATCATCGAATGTGTGTGTGGCACGTCTACCAGAATGCACTGAAACAGCTCGGTTACATGTTTGCTGGTTCAAGTTCCTTTGGCAGTGATTTAAGCAGTTGCTTTTTTGATCAGGAAGAGGAGGATGATTTCAGTAATGCTTGGAATGCTATGCTGGACCTGCACGGTCTTTGGGAAAATGAATATTTGCATGGAATATATGAAGATAGAGAAAAATGGGCCATACCATATGGAAGGCATATTTTCTCTGCTGACATAGAAAGTGCATTACGATGTGAAATTTTCACTTCAAACTTGAGAAAGCACTTAAAGCCTGATTCAGACGTGATTTTGTTGTTAAAGCATCTAGCAAAGGTAGTGAATGATCTGCACTACAAAGAGTTAGAAGCCAACTACGATATGACCCAACGCCCATCAAGGATAATGGGGGATGTGATTCTTTTGAAGCAAGCAAGGGATATTTACACCCCACCAATTTTTGAACTGTTACAGCAGGGATATGAAACGTGTCTGAATATCGTTGTGAATCGCTGCACTCATAGTGGGGCATTATTCGAGTACAGAGTAAGTATATATGGGCAACAGAGGGAGTACACAGTTACTTTTAATTCTACCGACGAGACCGTTGCCTGCAACTGTATGAAATTCGAATTTGTTGGAGTTTTATGCAGCCATGCGTTGAAAGTGCTTGATTATAGGAACTTGAAGTTGATTCCAACCCAGTACATTTTGAAGAGATGGACAAAAAATGCAAGAGCTTGAAAACTACTGTGGTAACTTTTGGCGCTAGCGCATGAGAATTGTTGGCTAATTGGTTATTGTTGCTGGATTTGGAGAATCAACTTAATTGTATTTCCGACATTAGGTGACCAAAAATGTAGTTTAGAAACAGAACGTAGTGCAAATACTGTACAAATATCTTTCTAATAACTTCTTGTATTTTATGTTGATTCACAATAAAAGAATATCAAACCCTTCTTTCTCTGTGCCTTTATCTTCTTTTACTATGGTTCTTTTCCCTATTTATTATATCACCTTTCAAGAGGGATCGAAACAAAAATCAATGGGAAGTGTGCATATTACCAGTAAAAAAAGCACATCACAGTTCATATCCAAGGATTCAAGTCTTACATCAACAAGATTATTCTACAGAATACTAGTTACAAAGTGGAACTTGGAACGAATTTATGAATAGATCTAACTCTAATTCTAATCTCTGAAGAAAACGTTCTGTTTTCGACGCAGACTTAAAGATTTCTCCGCTCGGTTAACTAACTAACCATGCTGAATATTTGGAGATCTGTTCTCATGAGTTATAGTTGTGGTCCTTGTGGCTCTTGAAATGAGAGAACAAGTAGGGCTTCGAGCATTCTTTCCCTGGACCTGCTTGGGGCCATTGTTCTTCACTGGTGGCCTTTTAGGAGTTTGAGGGTTTCTGCTCTCAACTCTACTGGGAGTGAACTTGCTTTCTAGCTTTGGTGATTGAGGATGAGTAAGTGGAACCTGCCAAAAAAAAAACGAGTGTAAACCCGAAAAAGAACAAAAAGTCCGGATGTCAAAGCTCAAGACTTGATGATCAATTCAGATTTTCTGTAACAAATTTCTGAACCTCAATGGATAACATAAAGCTAAGAAAGTACCTTCTTTATATCGTCGTTCTCTGCTGCTTTTCTTTGCTTATAGAAGTCGGGCAGTGGCCTGGCTTTAAAGCAAAAACCTGGACGCAATATTCCAGTTTCTGTTTCTGGTTTTTCCTGCATAAATGATTGGTAAGTAAATTGTTATATATTGTTAGACACACAAGTGTTTCTGCACTTTTTTTTTATTTTTTTTACTTCAAGCTAAATCTTGTATCAAGTATTTGTATCAATTTGTTGATGAGAGGAACAACCTTGACTTGTGTCTTTAGCTGATCTTTTTGTGCCCCGTTGGAATTGAACTTCTCTTCAAGTTTCTGAAGACAATAAGGAGAAAATGAGATTGATTAATGATGATAAGCAATTTTGATAGCACATAATTTGAGTCACATAAATGAACAATGAAAAGAAAAGTGAGAGTCATACCTCCTTTCTTTTGGCAGCTCTCTCTTCAGTTCTCAAGCTGAAAGGGGTGTAGGAGAATGGGGAGCGCGTTTTGTTTTTGCAAGCACTCAAAAACTTTGAACAACTGGCCAACACACGCAAGAAAAAAGCAAATCAGAAAAACTCAACGGTTGCGACATTTTAAAATACTACTATGAGGAGCTTATATTAGAGCGCGTTTGCTAACTCGTAATGGAATGTATTAGAAAAGAGATTTAAGAGAGGAAAGAAGACGAAAAAGAAGGGAATCAATCATTTAATAATACAAGTGTATACTTATCCATCAACAATTAGAAATGTATTTTTCCCTCGAAAGAAAAAGAATTGAAAAAGTGTATTCTTAATTTAGTGAGTGAACACAAGGATCATTGGAAAGAGAAATACTCTCATGTTTTCTTTCCATTGATGTTATGTAAGCATTGCCCTTAAAGTAGACTCATGTCCAAAAATGAGATTTCATTTGGAAGGATGGATAAAAAAAAAAATACAAAGGGCAGAAAATAAATTGAGGAATGGGAGAAGTAACTGCTGTCTTTTCCTCATTGCTGCTTGAATCTGTTGGAACTTGGAAGAAAAGAGAATGAGTGATTTATATGATTACTACTCTAACCATCTCTTTAAAATGAGGACAAATAAGTAAAAGCAATTATATAAGAATTCAATTTCAAATTTTCAATTGAATAATATCTCCAATGATAAATGTATTATAGGTAAGACCTACTAGTACTTTTTCCACTTTGTTTTCATTTTTCATTACCTTCCCCTCCCTTTCTATCTTCCAATAAATTGCAAAATTAATATAATAGAGCAAGTACTAGAGAAAAAGAGATTATTACTCTGTTGCAAGCAAGCGCCATCTTGGTCCTGTTCTTCCAGAGGCTGAGGGATTATTAACTGGTGTTGTAGCCCTATATTATTCAAATAAATAAAGCACAGTTTTTGTACACAAGAATCAAATTTACTTATATTTTTAATAGCATGTGAATTATATCATTGTATGACATGTACCTTCTATTTGCAGAACATGGGGTCTGCTGACTTGTCCCATTCTTAGACACCTATATGTTTTAATGACAATTAATCTCTTTTAGTACACTTGACAAAAAACAAAAAATCAAATGCAATAATAAATGAGAAAAATTTCAGAGAAAAAGAAAAAGGTACCGTAATTGGGGTCCTTAAAGGAGTGGAACAATAATCTTTAGTAGGCTTGGACGAAGTGGTCCCAAATCTGGAATTATCAATCTTTCTAATGACAGTTGACGTTAATCTATTAATCTCTCTAATGGGAGTGAAATTAACTGCCTTATTATGAAGTGATTTTGGTGTTGATCTCTTCTTATCCGCTGACTCTAATAAAGGCTTTTTGCTTAATGGAGTGGCATTAGGAGCTGCAGATTTTGCTGATGATTTTGCGGAAACTGCAGATTTTGTTGTTGATGACTTTGATGAAGAAGAAACCGTTATCTTCTTCTTTTCTTGATCTTTCTGCAATAACCAAAAAAAAAACAAAGAACAACTATGAGCATCACAGATTTGTAAAGAAAAACAAAAATTTAACTGCAATTTTGATACATCAAAACTATCACCTTTGACACAGATTTTTCCATTTTTGCTGTCCTCTCATTCAAGTCTCTTAAAAACTCAACCTTTTTAACATTCTCAACGGAAACTGGTTGCTCAGAATCATCCATTTTAGCATCATTTGCATGATCAACAGCCCTACTTTCGACCGATAATTCGTGTTCATCGACGGGGACTTCAGAGTTTGAAACCGGCTTATCCGAATCTTGAGCTGTGCTGTTTTGATCTGAAGAAGCAGAAGCAGCAGCATTGGCCTGTTCCAACAAGGCAGCCGCTTTTCGAGCGGCGAGGTTCTTGTAATGAGCTTCGAAGAAGGCTTTCTTCTGCGCCACCGAGCCCGGCCGTGAGTACCTCTCCGCCTCTTCGACGTAGCGGTTGTGAGAGAAGGTCGACCATTTTTCCCACGCCAACGACTCTGACATGAACCTTCCAAAAGATACTGATTGCCCAAGTCCATGAATGGGATTTCCCTGTAACAAAACAAAAAAGTGTTCAATTTTTTTTAGAAGGATAAAACAAAAACAAAACAAAACAAAACAAACATGAGAACCCAGATGTGTTTTTCTTTTGATGTACAAAAAAAAGAAAAAAAAAGACCTCATTGGGCTCATTGGGAAGGTCTGAAACGTAAGAGAATGGCTGTTGCACATGCATGAGACAAGTTGTTTCTCCCATTGGTAAGTAAGATAAGAGAAACTCCCAAAGTTCCAAACTTTACAACTCTTTTGCTCTTTCTTTACTTATGATTGTGAGATTATCTATATGGCTTTTTTCTCAACGCTCAGCTCAAGCCATTTGAATTTGAAATTTTAAATGGAAAAAGTAGCCCCAAGGCCCATGTTGTGGAAAAGAAAAGTGGCTTCTTTCATTGGGAGATATTGAGAGACAGAGGAAAAAGAAACAGCAGCTTTAAGTGAAAATCTTTTTTTATTTCAGAAGTGGGGTCTACTCAACCATGGTTTTCGGAAACATCTCCAATTTCTTTCCTGCTTCTTGTGGACCCCACATTTTGAACGCCCCCTTCCAACGGCCGAAATTCTGGGGTTAATTTGAATTTTTAAAGAGGACCCCTTTTATTTTTATTTTTTTTTAATTTTTAGTGGCCTCCTTTTTAATTGCTATATTTACAGCCTGGTTTTCATTCCATTCCTCACATGCAAGTACAACATCAAAGATGATGGTAATTGGAGGAATGGGACTAGGTATATTAAGTTGAATAAAACCTACTCTTTAAGAGTTTGTTTAGTACGGAGATTTAAATCAGGATAATTCTAATCATGATTCATAATTTTGAGTTCAAATCACGATTCTAAAATCATGATTTAGAATTAGGGGTTTGAATCACCTTGAATTAAGAGGAGGTAATTTTAGAATTATGAGTGATTCTGGTTTAAAACATCACATTATATTCTGAATTATCTAAACCAAACATTAATTCTGAATCATGATTCAGAATCACTGTAAACAAATGCTGATTCTAAACCAAGATTCAGAATCATGATTCTAGATCCATCTGCCAAATGAACCCTAAGATGTGAAAGGTGGGACTAAAGTTCTTAAACCTTTTTTTAAAAAAAAAAAAAAACAGAGATAGATAAGTTTTGATTCATGCGTTTAAGTCAATGATTTTGATTCTAAATTTAAATTTTGCGAAAGAACTTATTGTCAATAACCATTTTTGTTTAAATTTTTTGTGAGAGAAGATTATTGTAGCAGAATCATAATCATAATTTTAAACGTGTGAACTAAACATGCCCTAAGTGTGTAAGAGAGTGAAGCTTTGGCATTATTTAACAATAAACTAACCTTAATCCCAAGAAGAAACAAGAAAGTGGGTGGTTGTTAGGACATGGAGGGTAGAGAGATGTAATAAGCTGAACAACCAGTAGTTAGAACATTTCCTTAACAAGGCAAAATGTATGCAATGTGGACTCTTTAGATGGTTGGTTTAAGACTTGTAAATGTAAAGCTTTTCTCAATTTTGGAATATGTAGTATGAAACTAGTATTATTATACTTAACAAGGAGGAGAAGAAACCATATTTGGTGTTGGGTAGAAATAGAATTGCTGGCTGAATTTAGTTGGTTTTCATGTTTTGAGCAATTAGGTAATTAGAGCCAAATAAATTGTAGGTGGGGGTGGTGACAATGAGGAACAAGTCAAGAGTTACATGGTCCAAATCGAATATTTATTCACACCAACAATGTCATGGAGCTTGGAAGGAACAAATAGATTGGTGAAACGGATTAGGTAGTAAAGAGCAAACCAATCAAAATCTTGAAAAACCGGATTGGATTGAGATTTCAAAAGTCAAAACGGCACGGTATTCTTGAATTGACCGTTGCTCTAGTAACGATAAAACATGTCGTTTACAACAACGAGGTGTTCCCATCCATAAAAATTAAATATTACATAACATGTGTTGCTCATTAAAAAAGAAAATGACATAGTTATGCCTAAGCTAATGAAAACGACGTGTGAATCAATCATAGTAAACGACATACGAGTGTTTAAACTACAAAGAACATTTTTTTTTTTTTTTTTTTGGGTAAGCAAGCTACAAAGAAAGAATCTCAAGGATGAGTAGACACCCGTAATTTACAGAATGTTATCCTCCAAAAAAGTGAGAAAAATACAATGAAGAGATTATTGATGGAACCTTTACTCGTAATCCCACAGAAAGAAAGCACAACGTTTCCAAGGAATATGTAACTTTGATGTCTTCTCGATACTACCCTATGTATAAATTATGATCATTAATTAATATTGGTGTGGATTTCCTTCTGTGTAAGACTCGTAATACACCTGCCATTTTCCTTTTATTTTAAAATGAAGATTTCAAGCTTTTCTCTTGTTTCTATGGTGCCTACCTCTTGTGCCTTTCCCTTTATGACCCGAAAACAAGCACAATAATACTGCCAAGAAACCCAATCCGGAAACCGCCCACAGAACAACAAGCCAGAAGGCCAATGGCCTAAACCCACCATCTGTCCGAGTAGGTTCTGACAATTCCCGAGAGGTGTTCGTTTCCGCCTTGTTGCTCTTTACAGTATAACTTGTGTCAACCTTGCCAAATTTCCGTGAATACGCAACTTCTGTAGTAGTAGTAGTATTATCCGAGTTTAAGGTGGCAGGTGGGGAATTTGGGTCCTGGCATTTCCTTCTCTCGTGATGCAGCCGCAATGCCTCATTGATTGTTCTTATACATTCTATGCTAAGGAGATCCCTCTGCATTATATCTTTGTCAGTGTCGTTAAGTATCGATGGTTCAGGTGGGTCCGGAAACTTGGCCCAGCATCTGTTTACCATATCAGTGTCCCTCCATTTTGCTTTGTCAAAGCTCCAATTCCCAACACGGAATTCCAATCCATAATGGAAAACTCTATATTTGACGCCAGGTTCAGGAACATATCCTGGGTATATCATTATCTCATCACTTATGAGATGCCGTAACTTGAGCTGCAAGGAAAAGTGGAAGCAAAACATGATCACATCAAAGTATCCAAGAGACACGTTAAATAGTTCTACACCTACTTGTCAAACGAGTGAAGAGTAAAATGAGAACGTGTTAAGAATGCCAAGAGAAGATTAATAAGCTACAAGATAGATGCTGTACAAGTAGAAAATAAGTACCTCTGCTGCGCCAAATGAGTAACCATACATCTCACTGATCCACCCGGATGCATATATGTCGCCAGTGATATTTGTGGCGTAATGATCTTTGTCAGCCCTCACTTCCTCGGTTTTGTGCAACCAAAGTAAAGCGAATTTGCGGAGGTCATCTATGTGCATGATGATCACACCCCCAACCTTATCACAGGCCTCAGGATGGCGAGTATGGAGTTTTGCGAGCTCATTGTCACATCCAATAAGGTATCTAGGATGCATGAACTAGAAAAGTGAGCAGCAGATTGATAAAGAGAGTCATATTATATTCCTATATACTTAAAGGCATAATGTGTCTTACTCATAGGGAGTTGAAACTGGGCGCCCACGTTCCGCTTTGAATTCCCATGGTGTAATTGGACCTCTCATTACCATGTCAGCATCAAGGATAACTATAAACTCTGCATCAATTTCTGCATGATTAAGCCAGTGAAGGACTGCAGCTGGTTTGTTAATTGCTGGATACCTGACATGGAAGAGGGAAAAAAAATGAAATTCACCAGTGTTATAGTGGGTAGGAGAACGGGTAAGTGTCAGTCAATCAGTCAGTTATCTTTTAATGGAAATTGACAGCTATTTCAGAGAGAATACAAGATCCGGTTCATTTATTACACGAGAACTCCAGAAACATTAGATGCAGTACCCTTGAGAGGATAAAGTTACACATTTCTTATAATGAACAGCCACATATACTTTAAGATATTAACATGTGTAGAATTGGTTGAAAAAATCATGCACTCAAAGCTAGTGAAATGTGTAATCTCAGATGCTGATGCACATCTTAAGTCACGTTTGAGGAAGGAGTTAGCCAACTGGGAAAAAAAAGTAGATAATTTCAAGATAACAGTATTACCAATCGTCTGTTAATGGATGTCGGCTCATGGATGGAATGTAATGAGTGGGAGCCAGGTCATGGCCCTTGTATTGTTTCAAATCATCATCAGTACAGCTGAGAAGCCGTGTGATATTTCCAGGCTGACCACTCAGGCGGAAACTATGGATAAGTCCCACAGTCTGCCACTCAAAGTAAGGAGTGCATTCTGTGGAGAATACGGTGTGGATTTTTGGATGTGGCTTCTCAGCTTCATAAGTGACCTCTTGCGGTTTTCTGTCCTCCATAAGTTCCAAACTGGCAGGAGTTGGATGTTTTGGCTTGGTCAGTTCAGCAAAAGTGTTGCTCTTAAGAAAACTTAAGTACTTTGACCATTTCGGTGAAGGGCAACCATCTGCTGCATGTTGTGCTAAAAGACCTTCATTTAAAGTGTTAATGCACTCTGTGTTTATAAGCAGAGACCGCTTTTTATTTGGATCAGGTTCCATCATCTTTACCTGCACCAAAAGAAGGGAAAAAAAAAGAGATTACCACTATACAAACAATTAAGAGCAAGAATGTAACTTTCCACGGACAAAACCAAAATGCTATGACCAAAAGCCTGAAACCTATGTACATCAAAACAGATTTGTCGCTCAATGCTTTGTTCGATCACAGTGAATTCGAATGATCCCCAATAGATCATAATTGTAAAGAGAAACAAAATGATGCTTTGACACAAGTGGATATCTCTACATATTTGACACTCCCACACAAGATAGACCAGTAATCTATTTTTGGTTCATTTACCTCTTTAGGATAAGGAGGTTCAGTGAAGAGTTTCCCGCATTTATAAACTATATCATCTTCATGATGATCTAATTTGCTAAAAGACCAATTCCCCACTTTAAATGGCAAGCCATAGTGAAGGAGAATAGGCTCGACACCTTCTCGTGGAATATAGCCTGGGTAGATCATCAAATTATCATTGATCTTGTGTCGAAGGCCTGCCTGGAAAAATAAGGAAGATAATAATAGATAGAAGTAATTATTAGTATCAAGCACAAGAAATTATGTCTTCAGATAGATTCTTGTCTGAAAACAATACTGTTTTAGGGGGGAGAGACTGAAAAAAGTTCTCACTTCGGCTGCACCAAATGAGTATCCATACATCTCACTGATCCACCCTTTCCCATAGATATCACCAGTAAAATTGGTTGCCCAGTGAGCTCTATCTTCGCGCACTTCTTCTGTTTTCGAAAGCCACAAGGGCGCTAGTTTTCGAAGATCGTCTATATGCATCGCTAAAAGTCCACCAACTTTATCACAGAGTTCGGGGTGCTTTGTGTGCAAATCAGCGAGAATATTATCGCATCCAACCAAGTACCTGAAGGAGAAATTCATTATACTTATGTATGTTGATTGCCACAGTCCCTACAAGGGAAAGTAAGAAACAAAAAAAAAAAAAACAAAACAAAATGGTCCATATTCTAGAATCCAACAACCAGAATGAAAAATTTACAGTGTTTAAGTTTTGATATTAGCCCTTGTCTCCTCATACATATCACTATTTGTAACTAAAAGGATTTATCCTACAGTAATTAACGAGATCATAGTTGGCCTTAGCTGTTCTTGATATAGAAAAACAAACTTAAGTTGCAAAGGGGAATAAAAAGAGAAAAAAGAGGAAAATACCCATAATATGCAGCAACAGGTCTGCCTTTCTCAGCACCAATTTCCCATGGTATAATTGGCCCTCTTATGATCATATCTGCATCAAGAATCACAACCCAGTCTACATTCTCCGCTTCTTTACTATGCTCTAGCCAGTGAACTACTCCTGCTGGCTTATTAATTGCAGGGTACCTGAAAAAAGAAACCATATATATTAAACCAAAAACGAAAAAAAAAAAACCCCCCCATTGCAGCATAATTGAAGCGGATTACAATGCAAGCAATATAGTAGTTAATTATAATGACTCCATATATGCTGAGAATTTGTAAAGACATGCACACATATGAATATAAGCAGAAATAAATAAAGAAACATATACATACATACATACATACATACATATACATATATATATATATATTAATACCAGTCACTAGTTTTGGGGTGTCTGCTCATGGAAGGGACCTCAAAGGTAGGAGCCAAGTTCATCCCTCTGTAACTCTTCTTCTCGTCGTCCGTACAGCTGAGCAAGCGGGTAATTGGGCCGGGTTGGCCGGCCTTCCTGAAGCTGTGGACGAGCCCAACCGTCTGCCAGTCGAAGTAGTTCTGACATTCCACCGAGAACAGCGTGTGGATCCTCCACGGAGGTTCCTGCGGATATCTCTTCTTCGCTTCTTCGCTCCCATTCACGCAAGGACACAGAAACAGACACATCAAAACCCAGAACAAGAATTCCGCCATGGATGCTCCTCGAGGCTCGAATCACGCCCAGAATTCAAATGGGAAATTCTCGACTCTCATAGATCTAAAAAAAAAAAAAACAGAGCTTTGCGTTGTTCAAGTCAAAACTCGATTTTTTTTTCCTTCCTGTTGTATCTATCTATGGGAGTAGGTTAGTGAGTGGGGTCGAAATTTGCATTAAAATAAGAATTATTCTGCATCAGTTTGTTTTACTATTTCTCGTAGACAATTCAACGGGGCTTTAATAATTGGTGTCTGATATGAATTTGAAGTACCTAAAAGGCCCTAAACTTTTTTTTTTTCCTAATTTCTACGCAAAGATTTCCATCTTTTGGAGCCGTGGAAGAGAGAAAAATGAGTACATTGAAAAAAGTACCAAGTTGATTGGCTCACATGATCTGCAGTCAACCTGTTTTATATTCTCATAGCTGTTTTTTTTTTTTTTTTTTTTTTTTTTTTTAAATGCAATTCTCATAACTGAAAGCTGATGTTGAATGAATCACAAGGTCAAGCGCAATTGTTAGGGAAATACAACAATAACGTAAAAAACGACGAAAATCTAAAAACGACATGACTTCTAAAACGACAATAATGTAAAAAACAGCAGGACTTGGAAACGACAATGATGTAAAAAACGGCTGGACTCGGAAAACTACAGCAAAAAGAATACGAGAGACTAGAATGAGAACAAACCAATGTAGTATTACCGATAAATTTTTTTTTTTTTCCTATAACATATTAAAAATACGATTAATAAGATGATCAAAACTCCAATAGCAATAATCTCTCTCTCCTTTTTTTTTTTTTTTTAGGATAGCTCATTTTGTACAGATGCAACAATGGGCCGGAGCCTATAGGCCAGCCTAGGCCCATCCTGATATAGTGATGGGCCGGGCCAACCCGTCACTATTCCACGTACGACCCAGCCCATAAATATTGGTGGGTTGGGCTGGGCCAACATATATCGATTTATAGGCCGGCCCGGCACGGCCCATGAAAAATCATGGGCCAGGTTGGGCTTGGACCGGGCTGGGCCAGCCCATCTAGACCCATGATGGGCCGGCCCAGCCCGGCCCGTCTAGGCCCATAATGGCCCAGCCCAGCCCAACCCATCTAGGCCCATAATATTTTTATATTTTTTTTCTTTTTTTTAGTAATTTTGTAAACATCTTATGTATAATTATCCTTATTGTACTCTTTTTTCCTTATCAAGGTTTTGTCTTACTGAGTTTTCCTTAGAAAGATTTTTATTTAATGAGGTAATCGTAAATAAAATATCATTTTCTATATTTCCATTGACTATTTAAACTTATATATTTGTTAACTTATTTAAAAATTCAAAAATTAAAAAAATTAAAAAAATTAAAATTACATGCTTAGATGGGCTAGCCTATCTAAACCCATGATGGGCCCAATATGGGCATTGAGTAGGCCGGTCCATTCAAGGCTCGTGGCACGGCCCATCTTAACCCGCGGTACGGCCCAACCTGACCCACATAAAATTAACCCGTGGTGTAAACTGGGTCGAGATTATTCTTATACGATCTGGCTCACAAAATTCGTAAGCTGTGCCGGCCAGGCCCGCGGCTCGCATGAGCCTAAGGAGAACGGGCCGTCGGCCGGCCGTTCTTGCATCTCAGTCATTTTGTATGATAACGCCGTTTATCTCGACTCAACGGGCTACGGCGATAAGAGGACCCAAAGCTCAAAAGCAAAGGGCCGACAAGCAAAACTTCGGCCCATCTGCTCCGAAATAGAACGCCACGTCATCAAACGTCAAATCAGAGGCGTCAACGTGTTGACGTGGCACCTGTAAATTGGTCAGTAGACCGGGGTGGTTCTTCCCCAACATAACAAAAAAAAAAAAAGGAGGTGTAAGATGTAGAAGCAGAAGAAGAAGAAGACGATTTGGTCGAGTCCATGGAGTCCAAATGGGTCGCTCCTCTCTTCTTGGTCTGCTTATTGCTCTCTCTCCAATACCCTTCTTCAATTCAGGTTTTTTTCTCGATCTGATTTATGTTTTTTTCCCCTTTTTCTTTTCATGAGTTTCTTCGATTCCTTTGTTTCTCTTGTCAAGAAATTTGAATTTTGTTATTTGAATGAATCCAAACAAACGTCAGTTTGGTTTAAGATTATATTCGTGAATACCCAGGTAGATAATAATAATTAAAGAACACGAAAGGCAGAAAATTTGTGGGCAAGGTTTTTTATTTATTTACAGTTACCAGTACCACGTCCAATGAAATCTTGTCAAATTCATGAATCTTTCCAACTAATTTACCTCTTAAGTCTAATTGTTAATTGGGTTCTTTTCAGTGAATGAATTAACTATACTAAAATAGAACATAGCACTGTGCGTGTGTCATTAATACGCAAATATTCATTTCATTTCTAAGAAGTGGTCTACATTTTAATCATTCAATAATTAGTACTTGAACCATTGTTCATCATGATTCATGGGTGTAATCCAATCTTACTACTTTAGGATTAGAAATCATTTTTTTTTTCTTCTTTAACATTTTATTTTTCTCGGGTTCCTTGTAGTTTCATGAGTTATGACTTTGAAGTGAATTGTTGCTTTTTTGTTTTGACCTTTGTTATTAAACGTATAACCGTTTTTTTTTTTCTTTTTTTTTACAGGGTAATGATGGATTTGCCACTTCAAGGTACTGTAGAGCTTTGAATGTTAGATTTCGATATAGGAATGAAGGCTGGAAAATTTTTTGCAATGTATTTCTCGTGTGAATTAATAAGTTGAAGACAAGCTAAATTATTGTTCTTTGCAACACTTGAAAAATCATACAATGAGAGGCTTATACCAAGACCAAAATAGTTGTTTGAGCGTTAATGTCATATTATTACAATGCTATCGCTATGGAGTTTCTTGTCAGCATTTGTTTTGGGTTACTTATTTGATTTTCACTTCAGAACTCTAGAGGAAGATGCTGGCGATTCTGTTGAGATACATTGTTCAAGAGAAAGAAGTAGGGCAGCGTGGAAAATAAATGAGGAGGTATTGCAATTTGCAAGGAAATGTAGATCATAAGTCTCCATAAACTACCATTTTTTCAAACTGTAAACTCGGCTTATTAATGTATCAATGAGATTATGTTTTCATTGTTCATTGCAGTATTTGATGCCCTTTGTAGAGAAAGAACGGTATCAGATTTCGAGAGACTGTAGGATGCACCCTGACAATGATCTGTATAGAGATCAGGAACAGCACAAGATCCATATAGATGTAAATGAATGGAAATGTGGATACTGCAGAAAGGGATTCTATGAGGAAAAGTTTCTTGATAAGCATTTTGACAATAGGCATCGGAATTTGCTGAATGGGGTAGGTCATAGATGTTCTCCCGTTACATGTATCTTCTCCTAGCGTTTATTCTGGTGACCGTAAATTGTTTCAAAATGAAGCTTAGTTAAGTTCTCTTGCACAAGTTACTTAAAAGAAGTAATATCTTCTTTGGTTGTTTCATGTGGTTAGTTGCTTTTAGTTATATTAAACTAAGATCAGATTGGAGTATTTTGTTTCAAGTAGTCGACTTGAGTAATTTTTCCTTAACCTTCATCTATGCATACTGAATCAACGATAAGCTGTTCGGCTAATTAATTCTTTGGGTATTTTAGAAATATTTGCTGTGTTGCCTTATTAAAGCTGGTAATGAGCATGCCAATCTTTTCATTGGTCAAAGATAAAACAGATATTCACTTTCTTTCATCCAAAATGTCTTATTTGCCTCATTTGAACTCTTTATGGAACTTTACTGTTAGTAATCATATTGTTCTATCACGTGCCTTTTTTTAATTCTCTTATATTTTCACTTGGGAAATTGAGTTAATAATATCCTGTGCCGATTTGGTGAGGCTACATTTCTTCCATTTTCTTCATTTATTAAATTTTCCAGATGTGAAAACACCGCCTTGCCATTATTTTACCTTGAATTCTCCATTGATTGTGCTTACAGAGCCACAACAAGTGCTTGGCAGATGTGTGTGGCGCGCTTCATTGTGACCTCGTGATGGATACACCAAAGAAGACCAAGTGCAATCCTGCTGCAGCAGCAAGGAATAAACATCTGTGTGAGGTGGTGACTAAACTGATGTATAATGCTTCTTTCCGGCCTTTCCTGTATCATTAAGATCAAATTTTTATCAATTCTGTGCAGAGTCTTGCTGATACTTGTTTTCCTGTCAGCAAAGGTCCTTCAGCGAGCCGTCTTCATGGTATGTTTTTCTCCATCATAATTGCAAAAGTTGAAACAAGCAGTCATTATTCTTAATCTTCTTATGATATTGCCTTTTGGATTATTGATATGGCAGAGTTCTTCTTGCGCCAATTCTGTGATGCCCACACTTGCACCGGAAATCGGAAACCTTTCTCTCGAGGTCGAAAGGTAACCATCTAGATTGGACAAAGCCTATCATGCTTATTTAGGTTGCGTTGTATTGAGGCAGGCCTTTTATCTTTTATTCTTTATCTTCATTTTCAATTGTGTTCCATAGGCCTGAAGCTTGTTTATGGCCTTACCCGTCATAGAGTTGTAACAAAGAATTCGCTTTCAACTAACATCCACTTGTTTTCTGCGTACAGAAGAGGGTGAATATGCTCTATGTTGTCGTTTCCACATTGATTATGCTGCTACTGTTGTTGTTCTATACCTTCATTTACTTGTATCAGAGGTGTGTGTCTCTACTCTATTTTTCAGTGGGTTTTAGTACTTGAGGCAATTTTTACTGATGGCTTTTCTTATCTATATTGCAGGGGAATGAAAAAGGGAACCCAAAATCTGAGGCGCGTCTCACTAAATGGAGGGAAGAAAAAGCCATCTTAGTTGCTACTGCAATTTCCAATAATGATACACGAGGATTGTTTTCTTCTCTTTATTTCTTTATGAGAGAGAGAGAGAGAGAGCAGTGCGGAAACTGTTTTTTCAGTCAAAATTGGTGCGTCCATTCTTTTTGTAACATAAACATTAAATAGAATTCCAACAAAGAGTGCACAAAGTTTTGTTACCGTGCAACTGTCTCGGATTTGATTTAACAAAGAGAGAACAAAGATTGTGACCATGAAACTGACTCGAATTTTGATCTATTGATGAAATCTGCTCAAGAGTATTCTTTCTGGCAAACGTTAAAGAAGAAAGTTGCATGAGTTTCCATGGATCTGGTGATAAATATTTTCACCTCTTTTATATCTTTATTACTTTTTTTAGACATTGCTCCTCAGGCTCTGACTAGAAGAATTAGGAATAATTTCCGGCTTAACATAAAGCTCAAACAAATAAATAGAAAAGGTGAAGAACTCTATAAACTGAGTCGAAAGAGAAGCTTTTTCCTAGCTTTTCGACCCTTGAATGTTTCTGTGAGCAATCAAAACATACAACGAGAGTAAAGAGATCAATTTATGCCATTTTTCCATACAATGTCTTCCCTTTCCCATTCAATATAATCATGAAAATATTGCCTTTCCAATAAAACGAGTCGTTCTAAGCAAACTTATTTAAATTTACACACCAGCCTAAGCTTTACAATGAGTACAAAGTACAAACACCTTAAATTTGAATATCCTCTCTTTTGGAGTAACAAGTACAAAACCGAACTTTTGTTGGTCTTTCAAAGAAAACCAGTTTTCCATACATACCTTATCTCATGACATTAAACCTCAGACAAGGGGCAGAAGTCTTGGACAGAGCAACAGTACTTCCACAATCATTGGAGCAACCAAGCAGCATCTCGATCATTTTCTTCTCGGCAGATCGCGGCTAAGCCCGTGCTTCTTTAGCAATTTGATGTAGTTTCTCATGAGGCTAAACTTGTTGCTACCCAGATGATAGAAATAGTCCCATGAAAAGATTCCAGTTTTATGCAAGTCATCAAAGATTATCCTGAAACGCTCATCACCAAACCATCAAAACTCAACATTGCAAAATCACAAAACTTAAAACTGTGGACACTTAAAAAGCTTAAAATCCAAAATTCAGCTGTACCTTACCCCATAGTTTCCCACAAGTTCCGCAGACATGATCCCCACATGACGCCGGCCAGATATCACCTGGTCCAAATAATATGGTTACTTTCTAATACCCAATGGACAACTATACACTTGAATCAAATGCTTAATTTCCCTTCTTTATTCCTCTTCTTTTCTTTCCAGTTGCAATCTATTACGATCTACGAATTAGTAGACGCCGCGCTAATGTATGCAATAACAACCTCTTAAGAATCAGAATTATGAAAATAATTCCAAGTTTTGCATTTCAATTTCAATTTTGGCACAACAACAAGATTATTTTCCCTCAAGTATTGACATTAAAGAATAGTTAATTTAGACGGCCTTCATACAAAATATGAGCTTCAGGAGTAAACATTGACCTATACATACCAGTTCCACCAACCCATATTGTTTCAAAAGCAAATAAATAGCTATAATAATTCTCAAATGACAATGTATAGAAATCAGTTTAATCTCCATAAGAAGAAAAATAACGAAGTGTTTTTTTTTTTTTTTTTTTGGCGTAATTACCTTTTCACCTCCAACTGACCTGACCCTGCCATCAGCAGCTGGACTATTTATTCTCAGGAATTCAGCTGACAACTTGAATGCACTTCCATTAGCAAATTCCACTTCCACCTAAAACACAAAATACCCAATCAAAACAGAATCAATTCAGAAATACGAAATCATGAGCTTTTGCAAATTAACTGTAAAATCGAAGAGAAAAAATAAAACAAAAACAAAAAAAGAAAACCCAATAATCATTGACATCTGCACAGTAGCATTCCGAAAAAAAAAAAAAAAAAAAAAAAAAAACCTGAAAAAGAGAAGTGAAATTGGAATTTGGAAGCTTACGCATTTAGGAGCGTGGAGAAAGAATTTGGTGAGGCGAGGAGCATCAACCGCGGAGTGCACCCTACGAATCCCTAACGCCAACATTTTCTTCGCTGGGTGGAGAAGGTGAGAGTTTTCTTTTTCTTATTAATGGTTTTTTTTTTTTTAGAAATATAGGCGTCGTTTGAGAATAATTTTATTTTTTGTGTAAAAATAAAAATAAAAATATTTTTAATTTTAGATAAAAATTATTTTTAAAAATACGTTTGGTAGTTTTATTAAGAGATTATTTTTTATATAAAAAAATCTATTAATATCTCTCTCTACTCGAGAGAGAAGAAAATATAAATAATAAATAATAAATGACTAAAAGTCATTTTTTATTTCTCTCTTATTTTACACTAAATAAAAAATTATTTTTATTTTTTATTTTTTATCTTTATTGCGTCAAACGTCATTTTAAAAATATTTTTATTTTTTTTTTAAAAGTAAACGTAAAAAATAAAAATGAGATTAATTTTAAACACGACATAATTATGTAGGTGGGAAAGAAAGAAAAAAAGTAGTTCTCTCCTTAATAACGGAAGGAGAGATTTTGGTTATGCGTATTTTGTGAATATCACGCAAAAAAACCCACTTAAAAGTAGGCTCTAAGTTATGAATTAAGAGTGATTAGAGGATAAAACTTCTGATTCTGCTAAATTTTGTAATTTTTTTTAATTTATTTTATTTTATTTTTATTTTTATTTCTTTTTGCTAATAAAAAAGCATTTGGATAACATGATTATGATATCTCAAACTCAGTATGGGAGTCGTAATAATATCGAGAAATTAGTATCCTAACACACTTCGAACTTGCAATAATTGACTATATAAACATTCACTTAGTTCAGATTTTTTTATGACATCTCTTTGTTTCTGTCTTTATTTTTTCAGACGTTTGATTAGGATTAATATTGTTATTGAAGAAGATACGGATAGGAACTAAAAGAAAAAAACAATAACCGTTGACATCTGCACAGTAGCATTCCGAAAAAAAAAAAAAAAAAAAAAAAAAAAAAAAAAAAACCCCCAAAAAAAAAAAAAAAAAAAAAAAAAAAAAAAAAAAAACACCCTGAAAAAGAGAAGTGAAATTGGAATTTGGAAGCTTACGCGTTTAGGAGCGCGGAGAAAGAATTTGGTGAGGCGAGGAGCATCAACCGCGGAGTGCACCCTACGAATCCCTAACGCCAACATTTTCTTCGCTGCGTGGAGAAGGTGAGAGTTTTCTTCTTTTTTTTTTATTGGTTTTTTTTTTGGGAAATATAATTATTTAGGGTGGGAAAGAAAGAAAAAAGTAGAATGATGGTTGCGTTTAGAATTGATTTTAAAATAATTTTATTTTTAATAAAAAATAAAAATGAGATTATTTTAAGAGTAATTTTAAAACTGATTTTGAAATTGTGTTTGATTGATTTTTTAAGATATTATTTTGAGTATAATAAAAAAAGTAAAATCGTGTTTGGTTATAATTATTAATTAATATATTATAATATTATTTATATGTATCCTTAAAAAGTGAAATTGTCGTTTCGTTCTTTATTTCTCGAAATACGTGAAAACTATTTTAAAAAACGGTTCCAAACGCATGATGTTTCTCTCTTTAACAATGGGAGGAGAGATTTTGGTTATGGGCCGTGTTTTGTGGATATCACGCCAAAGCCCACTTAAAAGTAGGCTAAATGGGTTATGAAGAGGATAAAAATCTAGACTTATGATAAATTCTGTAATTTTCTCTTTGGATTATTTAATTTTTTTATTTTTTCTTTTTGCTAATAAAAAGCATTTGGATAACATGATCCTAGTATCTCGACATAGTATGGGAGTCATAATAATATGGAGGAATTAGTATCCTAACACACTTCGAACTTGCAATAATTGACTATATAAACATTCACTTGGTTCAGAATTTTTTAATGACATCTCTTTGTTTCTGCTTTTATTTCTTTCAGACGCTTCATTATAGGAGTAATATTGCTATGGAAGAAGATATGGATAGGAAATCTCTAGAACGTCAAGCGAGGGGCTTTCTTAATAAGATCAAGGTTTGTTCTCAAAACGGCAATGGAAATATGCACAAAAAGTTTCTACAGGCTTTGAAATCCTTTTGGAAGGGACATGTAGATCAAAGACGGGTTTGTGATGATATCGAGAAAATTTTTGCTAATCTCCCTAATTTGTGTAAAGATTTCAAAAGGCTTTTCTTGAAACAATCAACGGCTAACAAGTCGTCGGCTAAGGTCTCGAGCTACGGAACTTGCACCCCAAGTTATCGACTTTTACCCAAGAAGGATCAAACAAGTGAGGCCAAATCGGATCGTGACAGCAAAGGATTGAAGGATCAAACAAGTGAGGCCGAATCTGATGAGGATCAATCAAGTGAGAAGGAAGAGGACAAATTGATGGCCAAGATTTGTAGGGATGTGTTGAACGTGCAGTGCGTTATGATAACTGCCAAATTCACCTCTAAACATATTGAACAAAGTGACTCGGAAAAAGTATTAAATCGTTTAGAGGATGATAGATATGAAATGGAGGTTTTTTACGAACGTATGAAATTAGCTGCTGAGAAGGCAAATGAGTTGTTGGCTAAGCTCCAAACATCAGAATATGATGAGTTGGATATTCAAGAATCTATCGATAAATACCTATCTCCTATAAATCGAAGATGCATTGAACAAATATACGGCGTATGGGGCTCGAGTACGATAGCAATGTTGCTCGAAAAGCCATCAAAAACCTTGCCCAATATAATTCATCGGTTGAAGAACAAAAAAAAAGAATGTGCATCTATTTTAGAGGAGTATATGAAAGTTAGTACGTAGTTTTTCCTCAATGATTGAGTTAGAAGCTAGTAGCTTATTTGTTTTTTTTTTTTTTCATTTTTTATGCATATATGTGAATGATCCATCAATAAATTGCAATTTGATTCATGTAATAATTTCAAGCTGCCTTTGATTACTCGAATTATGGCATGAGAAGTTACAAAGTTATTCAATCTTTCATTATTTGCGAAGTTTGTTTTTTATTTATTACGAGCCAACAAAATTTTGATATCATTGAAACTATCAATGCTCTAAATTTTAATGAAATTTCGGAAAAAAAATTATGGATATGAATAGAAACAACGATAAGAAAATGAAGATTTATTTTAAGACAACATTTATTTATAATGTTTTAGAATCTGATAAACATTAAATAAGTAAATGAACTTTACATAAAAACTTCACTCATATTATATTCAAATCTCAATACAAGTACTAGTATTGACGCAGGCCTTTATCATTTATTCTTTGTTCTCATTTTAAACTTTTCCTTTTAAAATCAAGTGTGTGTTTTATTTATTTATTTTGGTACGAAAATCATGTGTGATTATGGAAAGACAATTTGGCTTGTTCTTTTGTAAGTATTTTTTAGTTAAGTTTTTGAGTTGAGTTTGAGTTATAATTTGAGTTGAAGTTGTAACTTGAGTTTGCGTTTGATTGTGTACATTTGAGTTATGATTTGAGATAAGAATCTTTTTGAGTTTGTGTTTGAGTAAGTTAAAACTTAAATTTGTATTTAGATAGTATTTTAATAAAAACTCAATGCTGATGAAAAATTTTAATAGGGTATATGGATATAGTTTTATTCGTCTTTTCGTTGTCAACGCATAGAAAAAAAAATCATCTCAATCAGAATTAAAACAAAAAAGTTATATCATTTTTAAGAATAGAAAAAATATTGTTCATTAACTTAAGTTCGAGTTTCTAAACTCGAGTTGAAGGGGAAATTTGAACTCGAGTTTTAGTTTTAAACTCGAGTTCAAACTCGAATTTAAACTCGAGTTCAAACTTAAAAGAACATTAACTCGAATAAAATTGTAATTCGAGTTTTTTTTTTTTGAGTTTTTTACTCAAAAACATAGTTGCCGAACATACCCTTAAGTACTTGTTGTTCCATAATCCTATATGACCTTGCCCATCATAGAGTTCTAATGGACAATTCTCTTTCAACTAACATCAAATAAGGATGATTAAATTATTTAATTTAAATAGTTTGTACTTAATGGTATAATTATTTAATTTACCTTATCCCTAGTTTTTAGATTAGATTAGTATTAGATTCAAATTAAGATATTAAATTAGTGTATTTATCTTATTACTGTTTAAGTTAGTTTATCCCAATTATTTAGGCCTTGTTCCGCAAAGTGGTTTTTGAGTGAAAAATTCAAAAAAAAGTAACTCGAGTTATAACTTTATTCGAGTTCATGTTCTTTTAAGTTTGAACTTGAGTTTGGAATTAAAACTCGAGTTCAAGTTTCCCCTTCAACTCGAGTTCAGAAACTCGAACTCAAGTTAATGAACAGTATTTTTTCTATTCTTAAAAATGATATAACTTTTTCATTTTAATTCTAATTGAGATGATTTTTTTCTATGCGTTAACAATGAAAAGACGAATAAAACTAGACCTATATACCCTATTAAAATTTTTCATCAGCATTGAGTTTTTATTAAAATACTATCTAAATACAAATTCAAGTTTTAACTTACTCAAACACAAACTCAAAAAAGATTCTTATCTCAAACCATAACTCAAATGTACACAACCAAACACAAACTCAAATTACAACTTCAATTCAAGTTATAACTCAAACTCAACTCAAAATCTACACTCAAGTTACTTAACTGAAAAACATCAAAAGAACAAGCCCTTAGATATTAATTAAATAAGTATTGGATTCAAATTCAAATTCCTTATACAAGTATATATATTTTACGTTTTCATCAATAAAAAACTAGTACCATAGTTCTTTAAAGTTTAAAATCTGTTAACATGAATAACATCTACTTGTTTTATATGTACAAAAACTCTATGTTGTCGTTTCCATTTTGATTATGCTGCTGCTGCTGTGCTATATCTTTATTTATTTGTACCAGAGGCCAGAGGTTAATTCCTTTGTTAGAAGCCTTAACTATAACTACTTTTACACCTCAAAATATTAAAATGTTAATTAGTTTTTTTCTAAACAGAAACAAATCTATCACCTAGTTCTTAGTTTAATTCTGTAAAACTGATCACAACTAAATTTTATGTATAAAGTAGATTTTTTATTTTTAGAAAATATGTATA